TCAAAGGATTGTGATTACTAACACATTTACAGTAATATCAATTCATAGTAACATCTACAGTAACATCAATGATTCTCAACCCATAATACAAACATCAGAAAATTGAAATTATGAAACCCATATTGTAGTTAACAGACAATAACATGATGTATTTTCATATCCACAAAATCAATCCCAAATCGATTTTATTTAACAACAAAGAAATCAACAAAATAGAAATCAATCCCACTTTTAATTTGTAATAATGAATCTCATTTTTTACTTTAGGAATCCAAAACAAAGAACATCAAATTTACAATAAAATCAATGGTAAAGATTTACTATAAAATCAATGAAAATCAAATTTGCTATAAAATCGATAAACATCGAAGTTACTGTAACGTCAATGAGCATCAAAGTTGCTGTAAAATCAATTTTACTGTAAAATATACGAGCATTAAATTTACAGTAACATCAATAGTGAGTTTGAGCATTATATTATGTAGAAATTTATTAGAAACCCTACAATGAACATCAAAGTTATTGTAAAATCGCATACCTTAACCCTTTGTCAAGAATCCCAGAGAAGTGAAGATGTTTATAATGCCAAGAGTTATCTGAAAATTCGCCAATGGTGTCCACAAGAAACTTGAAAAGTAAAACCGAATCTCTTTTGTATTAGAATGTAATGGGTTATGAATTTTGAATATCAATGGAGTCAGTTGGGAATTTGAAACACTGGTTACTGGATATCAGAGAAGGAAAGCAATTGAAATGGAAGAAAATCGTCGGATTTGAAGGCACTTTCGAAGGAGTCGATGTTCCTGTGGGTCCGTTTGTGAAGAAGACGGAGAAGCAAACGACGTTAAGGGTTTTTTGACAGGGCATGGTTACTATGGTAAACAAATCAAAAAATGGACTTAAAACCAAATAAGATTCTTTATTGGACTTATCTCCAAATAAGTCCATCTTGGGGGACTGGCATCCAAATGTCCCATAAATATACACAACTGTAGCTCAGACTAACCGGTGCATTCACTTTTTATGTCAATAAATATACACAGCTGTTATTCAAGTGTGAATATGAAGAATCAAAATATTTAAAGATTTATAAAATAATACACACACACACATATATAAATTAAATGAAAAAAGTAGTATAGACATTAGTAGTTGTATTAAGGTTATTATAGTTAAACAAAAGTTTTTTTACTTTTGTTGACATTTTATAGTAGTATAGATTATTGCCTATTAATAGAACNACTGTAGCTCAGACTAACCGGTGCATTCACTTTTTATGTCAATAAATATACACAGTTGTTATTCAAGTGTGAATATGAAGAATCAAAATATTTAAAGATTTATAAAATAATACACACACACACACATATATAAATTAAATGAAAAAAGTAGTATAGACATTAGTAGTTGTATTAAGGTTATTATAGTTAAACATTTTTTACTTTTGTTGACATTTTATAGTAGTATAGATTATTGCCTATTAATAGAACCCACATTCATATTCTCGTCTAGGGTCTCTGGATTTATTGGGCCACCCTTGGGTGTACCCATTTTTTATGCCAACAAATATATACAGTTATAACTCAAACCAACTGGTGCACCCACTTTTTATGCCAATAAATATACGTAGCTGTTATTCAAGTATGAATATGAAGAATCAAGACATTTAAAGATTTATATAATAATACACACACACACACACACACACACATATATATAAATTAAATGAAAAAATGGTAGTATAGACATTAGTAGGTGTATTAAAGTTATTATAGTCAAACAAAAGTTTTTCACTTTTGTTGACATTTTATAGTAGTATCAATCCAAGCAAAATACATCAATTGACCATCCATCAAGTAATCATAAAATAAAAAGCTTTGCTGATGAGGAGTTGAATAAGTCTTTCACTAGGACAAAGCTAAAGGTCAGCTGCAAGAGAATCAAAGATTTGCATTGCCTTTGATGTAGCTATCTAGAAGTTCCTCATCTTTAAGGCATAACACAAAAGGCTAAATTTTTGGAGTCGATGGACTCAAACTTGCAACCAACAGACTGCAATGTATGCCTAGGAATTGTGTATGGCCTTGCCTATTTCAAGGACGATCAATTGATGGAGCATGTTCACATTGCTCATATAAATCCAGCTTTCTGGATCATTATCGTGGGTATTTTTGGAGTTTATGAAGCCAAATATCTCGTTGATTGTTACAAGGACAAGGAAGTGGGTTGACTACCTCCCAATGTACATGATAAATCAAACTTTGAGGACAAAATTTGTTGAAAAGGAGAATGGAATGTTATGTGCACATTTTTTCATATTTTTTTATGTAGTATTTGAGATAGTTATTTTAGTAAAAGAGTTAGTAGTTGAGCATTTTGCAGATAGTTTTCCAAGTGTTTACTAAGATAGAGGAGTCATGGGTCCAAAAAAAAAATAGTTATTATGGTAGTTTTATTATCTTGTATTTAAAGATCTTTTTATCAATGAAATGAATATGTTGAATATTATATTGAACTTTATTATGTAAGTTTTGAAGATAGGTTCTTCTCGAATTAAACCATAGGAGGTTTTCACCCCTTCGAAGCGGGTTTTTTTTTTCAATTCTATTTTTTCTTTATTTTACAAATCACTCAAAATTGTGCACCTAACAACATCCACATTAGACTTGTAGTTTACACAAAATATGAAATAGTATAGAATGGAACGAGCCGAGTCATATATTGACATCAACTATACTTTGAACAACGAGTACGTTATAGACTTTAAACAACTAAGGGAATAAATGTATTTGTACCCATAAGTAACAATGAAAGAAACACTTAATTTATATACCAAGCAATTGAATAGAGAAATACGTAAATCCTATTGAAGTAAAGGTTGATTCCATTCCATACATCAAATGAAACAATCTATCAAGTCCAAATTCTGGGATGAATGATCCAACTGAGTCTCTGACTAGTCATTCCTAAAGATGAAGAAATTTAAACACAATCGTCTCCCGGGTATAGGCTTCTGGGAAATAACAGAGACATGGGTGATGCAGACATAGGAATTTGTTGGTGACAAGAATTATAATTCACGTGTAAAAAAAAATCCCAGGGTTTAGCATAGTATAAGCAAAGAAAAAGTTAAAGTACAAAAGGGCCACATCTTCAATAAGTTGACGTTCTTCCAGTTCAGATTAGGATTCCTCAGTCAAGCGAAAACCAAACAAGGTAACTTCCGAAAAGAAAACCAAACAAGGAAATATGTCTACAAACTAATTTGCTTTGTTCATGATGAGATGAAAGGCAGTGGGAATCAGAGACGGATTAGGGCTGACAGCCTATCAAGTGTTAGGATTGTTGTCAATATAAAAAAGAGGTTTAGACTCGGAGTTTAAGCAGACATTTGACAAATTATAACATTTTACAACAGAACAAATGTACCAGTTAAAAGATCAGCAGTAGTTAAACCACAACTTGAACATTCACAACTGCAGGAGCCATAAATCAAAAAATCATTATGTTCCTCCTACAATTAAACTAATATCTATAGTTCAGTCAGAATACATGATGGTTTATTTTTCAGTTTTCACTTATTATAAGCTACAAATCGATAATAACCCAGCCCCAAGGATCACCAAAATTCAACTCTGCAGGCACTCGACTTTGTTTTCAGACTCAGAAGTCATAGAGGCAAAAGTCCATAATGGATATCGTCTTGATTTCGGAAAGCTCAAACAGAGATTAGCATGTTAAATAGCATACAATGGATACCTAATTTATAGTGGAAATGTAGCCACCTGGTAAGTTGTATGCTCCTTACATCCCCTCCCCCCCAAAAAAAAACAAAATAACCCTTCACATTTTACATATCGCCATAAAGTGAAGTACATGATGTGGAATTATTGTTTCATTTTTAACAATGATAACGAGGTTCTTAGAGTTGGCAGTTGACATAATCTGATTTTCATGGTGAAACTTGATGTAATATATCATAATTATATCAAGAAAATTGTGATNTAACCCTTCACATTTTACATATCGCCATAAAGTGAAGTACATGATGTGGAATTATTGTTTCATTTTTAACAATGATAATGAGGTTCTTAGAGTTGGCAGTTGACATAATCTGATTTTCATGGTGAAACTTGATGTAATATATCATAATTATATCAAGAAAATTGTGATTTCATTATTTGGGAGGCTAATTCAGATAGAAAAAATTGTGGCTTGGTTTCTGCTGAAGACTTATTTACTTATGCAAAAAAAATGGTGCTAGCTTAACAGAATATTAGAGAGAAAAAAAAAATCATGTGTTATCACATATTTCATGTACAAGGTTACATGGTATCCCAAANGCTTATGCAAAAAAAATGGTGCTAGCTTAACAGAATATTAGAGAGAAAAAAAAATCATGTGTTATCACATATTTCATGTACAAGGTTACATGGTATCCCAAACTAAGTGTGTTAGTTTGTCAGTACTAGCAAAAAGCCACATTTTAGGATAAAACTAGGGCATTGATCCAATCATGGTCAAATCAATGGTTTAATGATGTATCTGATAGTCAGACAGTACAAAACAAGTAGCAGATATTAAACCAATGTGAAATGATTTTCCACTAAATCGAATTCTATGTCTATATTATAGTCTAATTGCAAATCCACATAGAACCAAAAGTCATTATACCCTAAACTTCATGCTCAATCAGGAATGCAAAAACAAACTATCTTTAAAAAGGTCCCATAATCACAAAGCCAGACTCATATATAGGTAACGTGGGGTTTCCTATTACAAATGCAAAAAGAAACTATCAGTCTTTTCAATTAATTTCGAAACTCTTACTAGTTACAATGTTAATCGTGCATGAGCAGCTTTTGTTTTTGTCCAAATACCCATAACAAGATAAACATAGAAAAGTGAAAATTCAGATAACTGGAAATTGCCCTCAAAGTCCAATNATACTAGTTACAATGTTAATCATGCATGAGCAGCTTTTGTTTTTGTCCAAATACCCATAACAAGATAAACATAGAAAAGTGAAAATTCAGATAACTGGAAATTGCCCTCAAAGTCCAATTAGTGTGAACTTCATCATGCCCAAAATCTAAGAGGCATCTAATCAGTATTCCATGCACCCACATTTAGACTCAGTCTAGACATCCCCCAAAATAAACTAAAATTACGTTTATATGAGAAATGGAATACCTGCCTTAATAAATATACAACCCTAAGTAAAAGACCTCCAGAAGAATAACATGAAACACAGGAAAAAAAAAATACAATTAAGCTTCACCAATCCCATTTCATCACAATGCTGTTGCTACCACTGCCAATCAAGAATTGATGTCACTCACACCCCTGCACCTTGTAATGACCTCACAACCTCTGTTGTAAGAGTTAGCCTCACCAGCATTCTTGCAGTTGTAATAAGAAGCCCCAGGTTTATAACATGGAACCATATCTCTCTTCAGTGTATCATAGCTTATATACCTCTTCTGCATAATCAACACTCTCCTATTGCTCTCTGAATCCATCTCCTCCTCCTCTGCTACCATTTCTATGGATTCACCGATCTTTCCGACAGATACCCTCTTCACCATTACATCAAATTCGAAGGTTTTTGGTGAATTCAGGTTCAGCATTGAAGACCCATAAGAGATTTTGATTTGGGTATGCAACAAAAGTAGTACTAGGAAGAGGGTGTTCATGAGGTGTGGTTGGGTTTTGATCATTTTGTTGTCTGGTTCTCTGATTTGTTTTTGGGGCGTTATCGTTTTGGGCAAGAAGTGAGATATTTGCGCGCGTGTGCAGTGAAAGTGAGATTGACTATGTTGATGGGTGGAAAAAGTATGCATTAGCATTTCTAACAACGTTATCTAAAATAATTATTTAAAATTTATTTAAATATTATATTATCTACTCTAACAAATTTATTAGAATCATATTTTAAAAAAAAATTATCTAAAATAACAAAAAATAAAAAGGTTTTAGCTAGATTATTAGAGTTGCTCTAATACGGCGGGGACATAGTGCCATCTACACCTAGTTGGCTACTCACCCGGGGCTGTTTTTTTTTTTTTTCTTTTTTTTTTTTGTGGGTTTGATGGAATTGATCTCTTGAATTTGGTAAGAGTAATATTACATAAATTTAAAAATTAAATTTAATAATTATAATTATTAATTTTATTGTAAGTTTTAGTATTTATTAACACTCATTATCTATTTAATAATTGTGCTTATCAAATTTAATTTTTAAATTCATGCAGTATTACTCATTTAAAAAAATAATTTAAAAGCATAACAAATTTTATGTTTAGGCTAAAATTTTAATTTTGGGTTATCAAATTTAGCCCCCGGTTAGTTCTAGTACTAAGCTTATGATTATAAATTTTATCAAATCTAAGAGGGGGCTTGGGAAGATGGTTTAAGAGGCTAACGATATAAAAGATAATTATACTTTTTAGCATGAGTATGAATTGAAACCCCAAGTGTTGTGGGTGGTTGAGAAAAATAATATTTGGTTCTTGACCAACATTATTTGATAATCGGTATCCCTAATTTTGGTTAACCTGCCTTTGATTAAATCAGAGAAAAAATTAGTTAAAATATGTACAAATTCACTCAATAATCCTAACCGCTAAATAAAAAAAACAAATAATCGTTACCTACAAATAAAGTAGTCGACTTGATTCAAAGCAATCAGACTTTCCAACAAAAAATGAGATGGATAGTGGTCCGAAGAGTTGTGGTCTATTTGCATGTTTGCAAATTTTCATAGTGAACTCATTTTTTGTAGTTGATTTTTTTTAGAACAGTACTTACTTTTTTTTGGTAAGTGATTCATTTGTTACTCGAAATTAATAATTTGTTTTGGTCGGATATATTTTAAATGTGTACACCATTAATGTGAGTGTTATTATCCATGCATTGCAAGGGTTTACTCTTAGTAATTTTTTTATTCGATTGTGAATATTACTTGATAATACCACTGTAATTTCCAACTAAACAAAATGTATTTTCTCGAATGAGAACGAACGAGCACCATTTGAGAGTGTTTAAATCCATTTGTATTGTGATGTTAGTTAAATCAATCTTTATTCAAATTCGTTTGTATATGCGCCGAATTAAGGTGTTTAACGTTTTAAACTTGATTTACATATTTTAATTTTCTCTATTATCTATTCTCAACTTATGCAGCTTTATGTCAACTCTCTCTCTCTCTCTCTCTCTCATTTCAAAGACCCTCACCTTCCTGTTTATAGGAGTATCCTTGATTTCTTTCAATTACATCTCTGATTTTGACAATTTTTGGTATTTATTTGTATATCAGATTGAACTGGAGTAAAATTATATTTTTTTTGGATTAAAATATAAATTGTTAGGGTCAAGTTATTGACAAAAGAATTTAGCAACTTCAACTTCTTGCCAGGTACCATTCCCTGATTTCAGCGACTTCCAACTTTTTGGCACATACCATTTCCTAATTTGTGCGTGTCATCTTTGATTTGTGTTTGTCGTCCAATATGGGTCATTCTAATTTTCTCTGAATTGTTCTAATTCTATTGGATGTCCGCATACCTTTTGGTGACTTATCTTCCAAACCACTAGCACAGCCGCCACCGTCTTAACGTCACGGTCACTCTTTTGCCTCCTCAATACTCGTCGTCCCATCTTTTTATGGTTGTCCATCACAATCTTCATATAAACCAGCAATAATACATATATAAACCTGAAAAAGAATGCCAGATTTCACGAGATTATCCAATCCACTCCAGCTGCTGTCACAACCCCTAGCAGTCTCGCACCACTGTGCACTCGAGCGACCGGTTGAAAACACTCCCCACTACTCCAACCAGAAACCAGAAACCAGCAACCAGCAACATCACAAACATGACCACCAACTTCTAAAAAATTTGTGTCCAGTTTAACTACAGCAGAAAGAAAATTGATGTTATAATGATTCATCCAAACNATCACAAACATGACCACCAACTTCTAAAAAATGTGTCCAGTTTAACTACAGCAGAAAGAAAATTGATGTTATAATGATTCATCCAAACAAATGAACATCATCAGGAAACAGAACACGTTTCCAAAGGCATCACAAACTGTACCTATCCACCATGAAAGTTGTTCAATTTTCAAAATCATCACTTATAGTTTTTACATAGCGCCTATGAAGATTATCATATCGAGTAGCAAAACAGACTATCATATGTGGATTTAAATACTGTCGTGTTTACATTTCATACTGAAATGAGAAGAAAGAGGAACAAAGTCCACGTAAATGAGTAATACAGAATGAGAACTACTGCTCCCTGAGACTTGGGGAGGAACTTCACGAATTCAGAAAAACACCAATAGAACAAGGTCCCATGTGCCATAATTTTGAGGAGCCAAATAACTCTAGTGCCTTCCGTTGTTATCACTCATCAGTAGCCTTTGCATCTTCAAACAAATTCGGTTCCCTGATCTCGGACCCACAACACACAGAGATCAACCCAGNAATACAGAATGAGAACTACTGCTCCCTGAGACTTGGGGAGGACCTTCACGAATTCAGAAAAACAGCAATAGAACAAGGTCCCATGTGCCATAATTTTGAGGAGCCAAATAACTCTAGTGCCTTCCGTTGTTATCACTCATCAGTAGCCTTTGCATCTTCAAACAAATTCGGTTCCCTGATCTCGGACCCACAACACACAGAGATCAACCCAGCTTCTGCAGAGTTGGCAATCCTTGGTGGCATATAATATTAGCAAGTCAGGAAGTTAATCCATTGCACTGTAATAAAAAGGAAATAGATTTAAGGCTTTAGGATGGAGAAGATAGCATGACAGTTTCAATCATTACAGCTGATGATGTGTGCACATTAAAGATGCTTCAAAACTAGAGAAAGAAATAGGGCTTACTACAAACAGGGAGCAAGTCCTGCTTGGTGCTATACATACAGAGGATACTGGCAAAGAAAAATGTGATTCAAATGCAGATGTTAAAATGACCCTTTTCTGTTACCCCGCATTGATCGTGAGATCATAGTTTGAAAGGNAAAGATGCTTCAAAACTAGAGAAAGAAATAGGGCTTACTACAAACAGGGAGCAAGTCCTGCTTGGTGCTATACATAAAGAGGATACTGGCAAAGAAAAATGTGATTCAAATGCAGAGGTTAAAATGACCCTTTTCTGTTACCCCGCATTGATCGTGAGATCATAGTTTGAAAGGCAGTGTTCACAGTTGCCCAACATCAGTTCAATGGATTTTCTGTGCCCTAGGTTTCCCAGGGGTTCGAATGTGTAGGAACATATAGGAGCCAAACTGTGGGCACATTTGGATGCAGAATATATTTTAGGACTAGTTTTCTTATTGGTCCTGTGGCTTTTTGTGTGAGATTCCATGTTTAAAAAAGTTATGGCTCAAAGGAGATCAAAGGAGCAATGTTTTTGAGGAGAGAACAAAAGAAAAAATGTATTAGATGTAATGTTCTTTTTAGGTATCGGCCGAGTAATAAAACATGTTTAAAAATTCTTTAGCACTTCCGAATCATCACAACCAGCAGTTATTTCCAATTAATTGTAAAAGTCAAAAGGGGAAAATATGTAACAAAACAACAAATTCAGACCAATGCTTTTCCCTTTATATGCTCTTCGCCTATTTCATCATACTGCGCAGTGAATGCACATTTATTTTTCCGTCTGAATATTTTTTTTTAATCTCAAATCTAACTGATGTTAGAAAATACTTCAATTATTGCTGTATTTAATGTGTAGCATGCACATACTCCTTATCAGTGGTATAATGAGTTGAGTTATTTTCAGCTCTGAAGCTGAAGTCTATGGTTTCTCTTCCTCATGGATTTATTCCGAGGTCAAAATTGCTTGTGAACATTATTTGCATCATAATAGAATTCTACTACTACATTTTTTTTTTTGAATCTAATTTAATTCTACTACTACATTGTTCTCATTTCCAATGGCAAAACTATTCTAGAAGAGTTAAAGACTTAAGAGCACACTGAAAGCTTCTACTACTACATTAGCTCTCATTTCCAACTACAAAACTATTCTAGAGGAGTAAAGACTTTTAAAGATAAATATTAGNACGGCAAAACTATTCTAGAAGGGTTAAAGACTTAAGAGCACACTGAAAGCTTCTACTACTACATTAGCTCTCATTTCCAACTACAAAACTATTCTAGAGGAGTTAAGACTTTTAAAGATAAATATTAGAAGTGATTCTACAATATGAATCCGACACGAAATTAGCACTTATGTTAACGAATGCTCAACATGGATCAAAAAAGTACATACCCACTAACACCAATAATAAATGGATTNTAAGACTTTTAAAGATAAATATTAGAAGTGATTCTACAATATGAATCCGACACGAAATTAGCACTTATGTTAACAAATGCTCAACATGGATCAAAAAAGTACATACCCACTAACACCAATAATAAATGGATTAAATTAGGGTCAGGCACGAATAACTCAATATTTTACAAGACAAACTTGTTTCACTAGTATTTTATGGAAAAATATTNTTAAATTAGGGTCAGGCACGAATAACTCAATATTTTACAAGACAAACTTGTTTCACTAGTATTTTATGGAAAAATATTTTATGTTTTCTTCTCATTTCATATCTTTATTTAGTATTGGATGGATTCTCATAGAAAAAAATGAGTTTTCACTTGAATTCACTAGCACAAAAATCAAGGGGATTTTTAGTTCATGGATGTCCACGAGTGGTGGGTTTGATTGAAGAGAGAAAGGGATCCTAATCTTATATTCTTGGTTCAAGGGTTTTACATGTTAATCCAAATAAGCCACAATTAATAAACAAGTCATTCGAGTGTAAAGACATCCAAGATGTGTAACTACATAGCTGGGTTAGGGTTCACTAGCCGACACACTTGGACACGACAAGACATTACTCAACTGCACCTCGCATAAAAATGCGCATCAAAAGTTACGATAAAAGAACAAGATAATTCCTAGGTGAACATATTCCTAAGCTAAAAGATCGTCACTACCACAATAATGGAGAATATAGTAGCATAAATTGATTATTACCCACCTTTAGAGGCACATGAAAATTTATTTTTCAGGGATTTTTAGGATTTTCTCAAAATGTTCCGTTCATTATGGGGAATGGAGAGAGAATTCGGTTTTGGGAGAACGTTTGGGTTGGGTCAATATCTTTTTCTCTTATGTTGTCGCGTCTTTATCAACTATCTCATTTTCATGGGCATTCTATTGCATCAATGTGTCAATACTCTCATCAATCAGTCTCTTGAGATTTTAGGTCCTGCAGGCATCTTGATGATAGAGACACTATGGAGTTGATGTCACTTACTACATTGCTTAATGATTTAAAGTTGTGTCATCAATTAAGTGATAAAAGAAAATGGATTCTTGAGTCTTCAGGAGTTTTTTCATGTAAATCTTTTTGACAAGTTGATTGATGATCCTTTGTATCCTGTGTTTCCTCCTTCTGTTTTGAGATGATTTGGAAGGCTAAAGTGACTAGTTAGGTGCAGGTTTGTGCATGGATTATTGTTCATGTTAGGATTAATACTAATGATATGATGCAGATAAGAAGACCATTTATGTGCATTTCTCCACAATGGTATGTCGTGTGCTTGTGATAGTGAGAATATTGATCACCTTTTTTGTATTGCCCAATTGCTATATTTTTGTGATCCAAACTATTTCAAATAGCAGGATTCTAGTGGGTGATTCCAAAAACTTTTTCTTCAATGCTAGTGGAGGAATTCCAAGGATTTGGAAAGCATGAGAAAGAGGTAACCCTTCGGCATTGTGCAATTTTTTCCATAATATGGATAGCTTGGTTGGAGAGAAACTCAAGGATATTTGAGTATAGAGCCGACTGGAAGGAGGATTTATGGGATTGGATTTATTTCTTGGCATCGTTGTGGGCTTTCGTTTGAAGGACTTTTAAAGGCATCCCGCTATTTTGTACATTGGTAGATTGGAAAGGCTCATGTGCCTCCAAAATTTATTGTTTTGAGTTTATTTTTTCTTTTCATGGTTAGACATCTTGTCTATCCTTTTAACTCTTTGATCTATTATTTACATATCAATAAAAGAGTTGTGTTTCCTACCAAAAGAAAGAGGCACATGTATGATTACACAAAAAAGTTTGTAAGAATGTTGTTAGTTTGCTAAAAAATATGAACCCTTTAGTTCTAGTTTATAATATCCATGAGGATTTGATTTTGAAATAAATAGGAGCAAGGCAAATCATGTAAAGCAGATGAAGCCCTTTAGTTCTAGTTTACAATACGTATTTTACAATACATTACGATCCTGTGAAAAAATGATATATATTGGCAATACATATCGTTTTTCATTGTATTGTATGATGCGCGATGCATATCTTATGCTATGTTTCGATACTACTATGAAAATATGATACACAAAATATCATTTTTTATATTCTTTACTTTTTTTACACTAACGTCATTTCTTATAGTTATTTTTCGTATTATGGTTTGATCTTAAGCAGATGAAGCCCACAATCATCTTATTTCTCCTGCTTCTTCTTAAAGAGAACCCTAGCTGTATTTTGATCTCTTTCGCAAAGATGAATGGCTGTCTCTTTCAATCTCTATTGCAAGCGCAAATCGCAAGAGATGATAAGTGAGATGAAATCGTATTTATATTATATTGGAAATTAGGTATTTATATTTTTGTTTGTATATAATAATTAATAGATACATTAAATTTTTTTTTTGAATGTACCTTATTATACATGATACGTAACGATACAAAATACATTATTTTGGAAAACGATACGCATTGCGATAAATGTTTAGACCACCTCGTAATTCAACCACTATAATGAGTTATGTTTCTAGAAAATTTACCCCTGTAATTTAATNCATTTTTTTTTTGAATGTACCTTATTATACATGATATGTAATGATACAAAATACATTATTTTGGAAAACGATACGCATTGCGATAAATGTTTAGACCACCTTGTAATTCAACCACTATAATGAGTTATGTTTCTAGAAAATTTACCCCTGTAATTTAATGTCATATGAAACAAACATGTTTTAAAGAAGAAGACAATGTAAGAGACACCTGTGGTTAAAAACTAGAGCCAAGGCAACAAACAATCATANATGTCATATGAAACAAACATGTTTTAAAGAAGAAGACAATGTAAGAGACACCTGTGGTTAAAAACTAGAGCCAAGGCAACAAACAATCATAACCCGGTATAATATATGTCAATCAGAGCATTTTGCTTTCACAATTTAGAACTAGAACGCCCCAAACGAAACTTCTTTACAGCTAATTAATGCCAAAAGCTTCTGGCAATGCCACAGCAATGACCAAAACTTCTAGCATGCCAGAATCAAGTTTTATAATGTAATTGCCGATAGATGTGGTCTTACAAAAGGCATCAAGAAGCTGGAGAAGCATTTACCTAACTTTATCAGCAGCGACTTTGGTGGTTAAAGGGTAAGCTGCTCCACATTCTTTGCAGTTCTGGACATGCCATGGCCTGATCTCCTGTCTTCACGCTCGTCATAGGGGTTTGCCCTGTAATTAGAGCATGCCTCTTCAGTGTCTGAAGAGCCTGGTCTTTCAGTCAGGAACTGTTCCCAGAATACATCATTCACCCGGGCCTGAGAGGTTGCAGGCCTTTGATTGTTAATCAGTGCCTCTTGCGAGGAAGACAAAGTCCCATCACCATCACAGTAGGTTCCATCTTTTGGTGAAATCCTATGGTCAGCCTCATTATTGGTGATAATAAACCTTGAACCTGTAGATTTACCAATTTCTTGAGGAAGTTGAGGCATAGTTGAATATTGACTTGTGTTGACTTGCAAAGAAGATGATGCCAGAGTAAGATTTAAATGGCAGGAGAGGGGACCATCGCCTTCTTCATGAGAAGTCAAGCTTCGCTGCAATGAATGTAGTCCCGGGGTTTCACAGACTTCTGCTTTACGTGACAAAGATGAATCCATCTTCAAAGAAAAAGATGCCCCAGTATCTGATAACTCTAAAGCTTCAGGGGCAAACAAAAGCCCACCAGTTCTCAAGTGTCCGTCTTTTGGGCATCCTTCAGATATTCTTCTATTTGGACTTCCTCCATCTTCATTAGAACTCTGCGTGCTATGTGAAACCAAGTTAATATCTGAGACTGCTGGTGACAATTCTAGCCTAAGCTTACTGGAAAAATCTTGGTGGAAAACATTCCCAAACTCAGATCTAGAGCTGCTATGATTGTCCACAAAACTATTTTCTTGAACTGGTTGAGAGTGATCAACCTGAGGCAATCTCCTTTTCTTATTATATGCCAAAAAATCCATAGATTCAAGTTTCTGAGCAAGATGTTCAATAAAATCCTGATTCTGCATTGCCTTTTCTAAGGTGGTTAGCAAACGCATCTGTCTCTGCTCCATACTGCCTACTCGCCGAGTTAGGTCTTCCAACTGCGGCGTTGCAGCAGAATGCTGCTGTTTAAATTTCAAGATACTGGCCTCAAGTGCAGTCTTGTCACGGGAAAGCCTATCGATTTCTTCCTCAAATGCTGCTCTCTCTGGATCGACTGTAGAACCTTGAGGCTGACTATGGCTGTGAATGGGTTTTCTACGGTGTATATTCTTAAGAAGATGCTTTTGATCTTTCACAAAATCATCATTGGCGAATTCCCATCTTTCAGGATCAATTTTATGAAATCCCTATCAACAAATTCATGTGATTCAACAAAATCATCTAAAAAATATATAGGAGTATATATATTATAAAAATCAGAGGGTTATCTGCAAACAAATGCATTAAACAATGAGTAGTCGTTATTTGTTACAACCCGATTCATACTCTAGTTCATTTCTTGTTGAGAAGGGGATGATTAGGAGATTTACAGGCTACTATCACTTCTAAAAATAAATAAAAATAAAAATGAATTGGAGATACAGGATAAAATGGAGGACTAGTACCATTCTGCCTTAAAATAAACATGCTAGGAAAATCTTGAAGCTTCTTATATGCAAAGGTGGAAGAGCTCCAAGCATTGTACATATGTTACAAAGAAGAAAGGAGGAAGTAAAAAAAAAGGGCTAAAAAGAAAAGAAGTCAGNGAGCTCCAAGCATTGTACATATGTTACAAAGAAGAAAGGAGGAAGTAAAAAAAAAGGGCTAAAAAGAAAAGAAGTCAGCTTGGAAATAATTCAGTTCCATATTTTACGTCACAGAACTTCACACTATTCAATGAAATAGAAGCAACATTTAAGAGAGAGAGAGAAGGGGGGGGAGGCAGAAATTTATTCTTGAGTGAGCACTTTAACTGCAAGTTTTAAGTTTTTTCTCCCAATCGATAAATGTATGATAACTCATTTATATTAACTTACATCATATTTAATACTTAAAGATTCATTAAACCGAAAGGACAAAAAACATGTATATAGTGTATACAAACTAAAACAAGAAATAGGTTAATTATAATTCTTTACAAAAAATTGTTCTTATCGCAAACCATTGACAATAGACCCCGACGAATTTTCATACTTTGAAAGCATTTGATGATAAGTTCGCCATCAATGCCATCGAACATGTTTTTCTTTGAATAAACTATGGAGCTATCACACAATAACCATTAACCATTGTTGTTATAAACTAGATGAATGACCTTGCAACATTTTCTTCTAAAAATTAGAGAATGACCCGACATGTCTAAAACTTATTCGGACATATTTGTAATGTACTCGAAGGTGTCCGAAAGTCAATAGTCATTCAGGTATGGGTCCATACAAATTAACAAGGTAAGAAAGTGATAAAGTGAACACAATAAAACATATCTATCTTCTTCGTCCCTTATTGGCTACACTGTGCCAAAACTAGTATCGCGAAATTTTAACAAACACAAACTCACTTCAGTTGAAGAAAGCTTCGGCACAAGCATCACACTAAGTTCAAATTCTCACCAAGCAAATAATTGAATGGTGTTAATGAAAAGTATAACAAGTGAAGCAGGCAATACCAAAATCAACAAAAGAACAACTATAGATCAGCTATACATTGATACAACTACAATTCACCTCAACTTAATTCCAAATTATGAACTCCTCATGAATGTCACTATACAAACCTAAGAAGCACTGATACCGACATGGAACATAGAACATGGATGTGACATGACAAGGACATGCGGGCACGCTCTCTTTCTGAAAAATGGCACGGGCATATAAATTGACTCCTTGAACAAAAGATAGAGATTCATATTTTCTATGGCCATGTAGAAATAGGTCCATCATTATCTCAATCAACTCAGGGATAAAAAACACAAATCATAGCAATATTATTAAGAGACCAGCATGAGAACTAAGCATAGGAATAAATCAATAAAATTGATTTCCTCTTTTAATCTTATTCAACATTCCATAACTACATTTGAAAGCATATAGCAAAACAATCTAAATTCAAGTACAAAGAGAACAATATTTTACCAATCAACAAGCCTCCAACACTTAACAAAACAAAGAAATCCTAATTGTCATACATACCCATGGTTACCATAATTCACTCAACCCCTGACGACCCACGATTTGAGTGGATCGATTCCAAATGGGATCACTAAATAGACGACCCTAAATTGTAATACTAACCCTAAATCAATTCGCTTTAGAACATGTAATACAAATATAAAATATATATTAATTGACTACATGTATATAGATTTATAATTATATATTGTTTTAGATAATAGAAAATCAAACACAATTATAAGATAAACGGTAACTGACTTAGTGTTTATGGATGTTCTATAATATATAATATTGTATAGTAGTAAAAACGATCTACATAAGAGTTCTAAGATGAATTGCGACCCAAAATACCGTACCAGTTAAGTCTACCCCATCGTACCACATACCTAAGAAAATATCATATCATGTATCCGTACCCAAACCACATACCAAAGCTATCCACGATCCAAGTAACATTGGTCATACTTGTTCTAATGACATGAAGGAAGAGTGCGGACTACAGATTTTTTTTTGTCCATTATATGTTGGAGTTTAGCAACGTATGTAAAATTTTTGGTGCTGCATTTTGAGGCTCCTCGTGAACTGGAAATTGCATGGCAAAGGTTCAAAAGATTTACCGACATAATGAAAAATTGAGACAGCTCCAAAAATTTCAAACACCTGACACTCCAACATATGTTCTTGATTGGAAATATTCAAAGGCCACCAATTGCTGCCCCATCTTGAAAGAAGGCATAACAATTCAATCTCAACATTTTCACATTTTAATTCTTTAGATTCCATAAGCTTAGAAATTTTAATTGTGACCACGTGCGCTTTAAATTTCGCCACCAAACAAATTAAAGTATATATTGACAACCTATGAAGACCTCTTCAGAGAATTTTCATACGTTTTTGCAGATCACTAGGGATAGTATGATATATTAGCAAGATACCATGAGATTCCAAAAGAGAGAGATTACCTGAGAAAGTTTTCATGAGTTTTTTAGGTCCACTAGGGATATTCTGGTGCTATTCCATGTCTGAGATATTGCACTTATTTCTTCTTTAATTTCGTTTACAAATTCTCTATGAGCCAAGTTTTCAGTTTTAGTCAAAATCACCCCAGTTAGATTAAATTTTCATCCTAATGAAATCTGCTCCCACCCCCTAATCCATAAGCCTAGAAGAAAAAATGCAAAACTACAAAAGAGGTATAGGTGCTATTTTCAAAATTCTAACAATCCTTACCGAACGTACTCCCACACACGAACACCCCTATCCATTTCACTTATAAGCCACCAGATGCATGTGTTGATCTTGAGTCGCTGTTACCTACATTTACTGAGGGATGGATCCAGGATGAATTCCTTCGATAAGACTTTAGGGGGGCATTCAGGAAAATAGAATTATTTTTTTTGGGGTGGGGGAAATCATCGAAATTTTGAGAATCCCGTCATAAATTCTATATCAAATTATGGAATTTCCCAAACTGAGTGGTTGCCCTCCCCGTACTCCAAGATACGTAGTTGTTCTAAATGTTTACACAACCAGATTAATCAAGATCACTATAAATCAAAAGCACAGACACATCCATTCAATTCCATCCGATTATCATTTAAACACAACCACTTAACCAAGATCAATACGACAGCAAAAAAAAAAGACATATACAAAATCAACAAAAACCACTTAATTCAATTGAATTGATACTCATATCTCACAAAATTGCAGGACTCACATATGTATTGAGCTGTCTGATGAAGCTAGAGAAGTTGTTGTGCTTGAAATACGTTGGAAGGAGAATTCTCGCGAACTCCGGNCACTTGCCTGTCGTGAATTAAATGATTTATATATCTATATATGTATATTTTAATAGGGGGAAAGGCCCTTTGGTTTTTCTTGTTTGGTGACCCCGAGTCTCATCTTCCTTCGTGCTCCTATCCCTTTCTAGGTTTTTGAAGCGTCTTGCTCCAGGCTTCTGGGTGACTTAGGGCATCTCTATTTTTGGTTCCTTTTTGTTCCTAGCGCTATTACTAGGTATGCCCTTATTTCCTTCTTCTTTATTGTTTCGACCTGGATCCATTCAACCCTCTCCTAGTGGGGTTTGGGGTTCCGTTTCTTGATATGGAGGTTTAGTTACTTTAGAGATCACTCCGATGACCTTTCTCCTCTCCCACAATTTGTAGGTTATTCTTTCGTGTCAAGGGTATCCTTCCTTAGGGCTTGGTGTCTGAAACCTTCGTTTTTGACGGACTGTGCCTTGCACTTACCTTCCCTCCACTCGAGATTACGATTTGAGCTTTTGATGGGAAAGTTTGTCATTTTTTCTTCCGAATCGGAGTTTGTTGATGAAGGGGACGAGGAGATCACGACGGCTTCCTCTAATGGTCGTTCTCTTTTCGCTAATGATGAGACTTCTAGGTCTATCTCGGGAGCTTCGTCTTCAGTGCCTCTTGTCGATGTTAGGCCCCTTTCTGCCTTACCTCCTAGTATTCCTACTCAGCCCAAGAAGAGGAAGTCTAGACCGGCTCCGTCTTTTACCTCTAAGAAGAGGGTTCATCGTGAACAATCTAACTTGACCTGTTGTGCGAAGGATACCTCCAGCTGCCTTGGGAATGAGAATTTGGAAGAGCTGAGGCGGGAGTATTGCTTCCCAGATTTCATGGAATTGCACTCCCCCAAGGAGCATGAGAGGTGTAACTCTAATCTCCCAGGGCTGACATGTTTCTTTGAGTCCGCATTTCGGGCTGGTCTTCGATTCCCTATCCACTTTTTTATCCGGAATGTTCTTGGGTTCTATAATGTATATCCAACCCAACTTTCTACCAACGGTTGGGGTCTTCTGGTTGGTTTCCTTGCCCATTGGTTTGAGAGTGGGAACATCTTTTCTTCTTCTATTCGAGAATTTGCTTCCCTATTTCAGCTGAAGTCTTCTCCCTCCCTGGGTTTCTTGTATTTTACCAAAAGGGTAAAGACAAAAACTCTGATTTTTGGGCTCCCTTATTCTAATAAGGGGTGGAAGCCGAGGTTCTTCTTTGTTAGAGGTGACTCTTGGGAGTTGTCAAGAGAGCTTGGCGACGTTCCTCGAGTTCCCAAGTTTTAGGGGTTCCCAAAAATACTCGTGAGTCTAATTTATTGCTCGTGCTTTCCTTTTCTGCNAGAGGTGACTCTTGGGAGTTGTCAAGAGAGCTTGGCGACGTTCCTCGAGTTCCCAGGTTTTAGGGGTTCCCAAAAATACTCGTGAGTCTAATCTATTGCTCGTGCTTTCCTTTTCTGCTTTTATTTCCTTGTTCTCAAATTTTGACCTGATTTACAGATTTCTGCTCGACACTCAACACGGAGGAGGTTGCCAGAGTTGCCAAAGCCGAGGCTTTTGGGTTGCGATCTTTCTTTGACTTGGTGACCGACGAAAACCTTGCTAATCACTGGNTTACAGATTTCTGCTCGACACTCAACACGGAGGAGGTTGCCAGAGT